TGAATAGACTTCAATTTTTGATCTAAGCCCCGCCCACTTCGAGGACTTGACTACATTTGTCCCATTACCTCTAACCACTTTTTAACCGCATTCTAGAACGTTTCCGAACGAAGTTACACTCATTTTTGAAAAGCGGTTTTTACCTCAACGCACGCCCCGCCCATCGTGGGCGGGGCTTGGCTATAGTTACGCGTGCTCACCACACATAAGGCCTTGCTCACTCTTTTTGTTTTTTTCCTGTTTTTTGAAAACGGGCGCGCGAGACATTGTCAGGTAGAGTATAAAAGCTCTCCCAAATACATACTAACGAACACACCAAACTGTTTCCTCATCTGCAACCGTGCCTCATGATTTCAAGCCGTCGCAACTCCACCTCTACAACACTATCCTATTTCTTCTTTTATCTGGCCAAGAACCCGCGGCAATCGATAAACGCGTGAAGGAAGTTCACAAGGAGGACGCTCCTGCTAGAAGCACCACTTACAAGTGGGATTCAAAGTTCGCGTCGGACAATTATTCCATCGAAGATGAAGACAGTTCGGAACGCCCGATGGAGTTGGATTTGGACGTGCTGCGGAGCCAGGTGAGAGCTGATCCGCATCAAACTACTTGTGAACTGGCAGCAACTCTTGGGGTGAGTCAGTCCACAGTTGCTCGTGGATTGAAGTCAATCGGCAAGGTGCTCCATGCTTTGAAGCAGTATGACATGGACCGCCGCGCCATATGGCACTTCCTCTCCTCACGCTCAAGCGCACCCTTACGTGGTTCAAGCACCTAGTCACCAGAGATGAAGAGTGGATTCTCTGCCTATCCGTCATTGTCATTCAATGTCATTGTCAATTTGTCCGAGGACTTATGACTCAACCTAATAATTAATAAAATAAGATTTTGATACTTCTATTATACGGGAGGTATTTCTAAAAATAATAACTCGAAGCAAGGACTTTTCCTGGGACAATGGCACCCAACAATGAGGGCAAATCGCGCACGAAAAAAACGGGGCGTGGTCCCATGGGCGCGCCACGTCAAAATGCGCATTGTGGTGTAAGAGTTAACTTTTGTTCAGGTGATTTTTTCATGTCAGAAGAATGTTGGGGAAAGTTCACTCCCAGAAATGTTTAGTTAATCGTCACGCAACTTGTCAATTCGAATCCGGTTTGCGTTCATGAGTCGTGCATAAGCTCGCATGCTTTAATACTATGAATAGAAAATTTGTAAAGCTAGAAAAATCAAATTGGCTAATAATTTGGGAACTGGTGGAATTTCCGCCACAAAAAATGTGGCTAAATCTTTTCCTTCTCCCTCGTGTAAATCCCGCGCCGTCGCAGGGTCCCATTCTTGTCATTCACCTCCACTTATCTTCGGGATCTTCCGCCTTCACTTTAGCTTCGGCGAGTCCTTCTTGATCACGTCCCGCAACTTCTTTGAAGTTCTCGGTCGCTCCCTTTGAGTCTCGAACTCTATTGCCTCCCTCACTGAATGATTCGGCGGTCTTCTCAGTACATGTACATCACAGACGCTGCTCTCTCATCTTCAGGTGGACAATGCCTGTTTTAGTAGCCGCGTCTTGGTTTTTTGTTTCTTTGCTGTCGTCTTCGTTTCTGATCCGAGCCAGTTGCGTCCAACCACATCTGCATACGAGCATCCTTACTTCAGTAGAGTGAAGCTGCCTTTTGTGGTTTATACTTACGGGCCAGCACTCGCTGCCGTTGATCACCGTGGGCCTCACCATTGTCCTGTACGCTTTTCCTTTGAGCGTGCTTGAGTATCGTCGATCGCAGAGGTTAAGAGTGGACTCCCCCCACTTAGTCCATGCCGGGTTCATTCGGGCTTTTACAGCCAGATCAACGCTTCCATCAGCGGCTAGGTCACTTCTCAGATGTCGGAAGACGGTCGAAGCCTTTTCCAGACCGAGGAAGGCTGGGTCATCGATACTTCTCCATCGCATTTCTGGCTTTGAAGAGCATGAAGATATCGTGTTGTAGACTTTTCTGGAATGAAGCCGGATTCCTCCCATGACATCTGGACGACTTCCTTCAACCTTGAATCGAGCGATCGCTCACAGTTTCGTCGTGTAAGCAACACGACGAAACTGTACGGGCCCTCACAGCCAACGGATGATATCTTAACACCTTATCCTCTGTCCGCAGTGCGATGAGACCAGCGGTTGCTTCTATTAGAGGGCTGTTCTCATGGTGAAATTGGTCGTTCAGGAGCCTGCTAAAGAACACTTTCCACCTACGCCTCATTTCACCAAGCTTCTTCAGGATCGTACCCTCGTTCGTGAAGACTTCGCTGCCTCGATGGCCTGAGTAGCGTGGTGCCGCACTTTCACCAAGCGAGAGACGGACTTCTTTTCTTCTCGGCTATCGAGCTTCTTGTACAGGGCGGCCATTTCCGTATTCCCGAAGGTGTAGGACATGGATGTTCCTGCGCCTCATAGAATCAGCGACCTATTGGGTCTTTCCAGTGAGCCTCACGTTCAAGGTCCCAACTCGAACTAACTTCTTTGTCCGAGGTCGTTACTCCTCGGCAGCCCTCGCATACTGTCCACAGGACTCGGGCGTGGGTCCTGTGCCCCACTTTTAGGTGAATTTCTTCGTCACTGGTTTCGTTTGAGACCTTCGCCATGCTTGTTGTGATTGGGTTTCTCCCAGCCGGTTCGTCAATATGGGCCTGACGCTGGTACTGACACCATTTCTGCAGAGCATGCATTTCCTCGGCAGGGATCGAACTCGCGTTCTTTTTGAGCGCAGAAATGAGTCTGCACTATTATCCACTCGGGCATCCCTGTAGTTGAATAAGTATCAAAAATGATTATTCGCTTATTCTCAGAATATTTATTCAGCAAAAACAATAAAAAAATCCTTCTTCCAAAAATTTATGTTCTTGTGTGTTACGAACCACTGTGCACTGCATTGTATTCTCCAGAAACCATCGAGCTCAGGGAGATCAATATATCAATCTTGTCTTTTTTTTCAGTTTCAAGATGCTATCTCGGACAATTTATAGTTACATCAGGTCTTTCGATTCTTATCCAAACATTTCGATTAAAAAATATTCTCTTTGAGAATGTTTGATATTTTATTAATTTTTCTGTGACGTTCTTGGTTTTTACCTTGCTCCTTTCTTACAATACACAATTACAGGATACTCCCGAGTGTCCCCTGGAATACGAAGTCATCGATCGTTGCAATCTAGCGCTCGCAGTCGCAATTCTTATTGTGACCCACTCATGGTATGTGTCAACGTTTTTTTTAAGTGTTCATAAAGTGTGGAACCCTTTTTCGGAAAGTAGGATCGAAAATTCAGTTTTTCGGTTTTTCTCTGTTTATATGCTACTATTAAAAAGGTCTGATTGGAACCTCCTTGATTCTTTCGGGGGGCCCCTCGGAAGGAATCCGTAATAGATTTTGTTGAACCGCTTCCGAACGTATACTCCAGGGGGATACATTGGGTTGTCTGGAAAGTCCGAGTTATGGATCTATTGTATAAAGAACCGCCTACCTCGAGGACGCCCCGCCACAACAGGTAATTGTCGTTCATATGATTTTTTGACACATTCCTGACCTTTACTCATTTTTTTCTTGTGTCTGAGCTGTCCTCAAGTCAAAATATTGGGTTGTCCGGAAAGTCTCCACCGATTTTCGACACTCCGGGCTTATCAACTGTTGTACAAAAGATCAAGAGTCTAAGCTCGTAGAATTATATATTTTCTGACAGGGCAAGCCCTTCTCTATATCCCGGTTCAAGTTCTGTTGACGTTACGCGAAGTCTGTCTCTATAGAACTCGTGTGAAATTTAAGAATCACCGCGTGCATTTGCGGCACCTAATGCTTTTCTACTACCGCAAGAGCAAGAGCGCGGCCCAAACCGCGATCATAAGTTGTGACTTTGGAGAAGGAAGTGTTCTAGGTGAGCGTACAGTACGCGAATGATTTGCAAAATTTAAACAGGGTGAATTCACCTTCGGAAATCGGCAATGCTTAGGAAGGCTATAGTTAGTTGAAAACGACTTAATCAAGATAATAATCGTAACGAATCGGCAAAATACCACTCGTGGAATAGGAGAGAGATTGGATGTTTCTAAATCAAACATCCATGATCATTTGCTGGAACTTGGTTTTGTTAAGCGCCTTGATGTTTGGGTACTTCACGAACTAAGCGAGCGCAATGTGATGGACCGCGCCTCCAAGTGCGATTCGTTGCTGAAACGAAACAAAAATGAGCTGTTTCTGAAATGTATGAAAATGGGAGATGTATTGAAAGGTGGGTCGCTTGCAACAACGTGGATGGAATCGGTCGTGGGGCGTGCTCAGCGAGCTGTCACAAACTACTTCAAAAGTCAAAAAATCCAGGTGAGGAAGATTATGCTGTTGCTGATAGGATTGGAGGGTAATCATTAACTTTGAGAAGGTACTGTACTCATAAGCAGTTTGTAGGCAGCGATAGACCAGCAGCGCCCGGAAGTGGCCAATCGTAAGGGCGTTGTCTTTCAGCGGGATAACTCCAGACCACACGAATTTTTGGTCTTTCGTGAAAAATTGCTGGAGCTTGGGGTGAGATGCTAACCACACCCACCATATAGTCTAGACAAGCACCACCAAATTACCACTCTACGTTTCTGCAAAATCTTTTGGGTGAATCGTTCAATCTACTAGAGAGCAAAAGCACCTGAAAGGGTTTTTCGATTCTAAGTCTAGAAAAAGGGCGAACCGTTACTGAACAGAATGGACAATATTTTTTGTTTGATGCATGGATTTGATCCTCTAAAAATTTCTTCCAAAGATGACTCGAAAATCGGCGGAGACTTTCCGGACAACCCAATAGTATAAGCATGAACCGAAGCTAACTGAGAGCTGTTGTCTTTGAGAAATTTCTACAAGGCTACAATCCGCGAACAGCTTTCGCAAATATCTACATATTGTGCACTCAGAAGAGACATCGTAGCTCAACCCTATTCATGTCGTTGATATCAGCTATGCCGTTCGGGCAATATTTTGTCCGAAAATCAACCCCGTACTGGACGTCCTGCCTTTAATTACGAAATTTTGCGCACTGCTCTGAAGGAGAGTCCAAATGTTATTACTCGCGATTTGTCGACGGCACTCGGATGCAGTCAGATAACAATCCTCAACCACCATCATCCTCGGCTACCGCGATAAATTTTCCAGTTGGGTGCATCACGATTCGAGCTATTCGAACAAAGCATCACGGATCAGTGTGTGCACTTCTCTGCTGCTTCATCCACGCAGAAGAGACTATCTTAAAGAGATCGTTAATGGAGACGAGAGTTGGATGCTCCATGTAAACCATAAACAACGTTGCCAGTATGTGCCTCATGACGAAATACCTTCAAGACAGCCAAAAAGCGAATTACACCAGTGGGGTTTGCTGTGTTGGTGGGATTCTAAGGGAATGCTCTACTTTGAATGTCCGGCTGAGGATACTACCGTGACCGCGGAGAGTTCTCAGCTGCAGAGCTTGGTCGACGTTATTTGGAGGAGGCGTCCGCACCGAAACAATGTTTGTCTTCTACACGACATCGCTCGACCGCATGTTGCGAAACTGTCTCGTTAGGGAAATGCCGAACTCTTATGGGAGAAGCTGCCCATCCTCCTCATTCGCCAGGCCTTGCTCCATCACGCCACATACCACTGATTGGGATCCCTTTTCATTGAAAATAAGAGTTTACTCAACCTTATGTTTTTTTTTNTTTTTTTTTCCAGAATGCAAAGTCCGCGCTTGGTGGCAGCCTGGCCTCAGGTGTACCGATGGGCAGAAATATGAAGCAGGAATTTTTGCCGACATGCTCGTTTTGCCTTTTAACGTGAGCCACGATTTTTTGTTATGAAAAGTCATTTATACCTGAGCATTGGTTTCTTCAGTTTTCCCAACGAAGCCGGATTACAAGTACACGAAATTCGCTGTAGTAGAAAAGTCGAAGCAACTCACGCAGAAACCGAAAGGGTTGGAGACGGTTGGATAGTCGAACAAAACTTGAGAGATCTTTAGCCATGCCTATTTAGGTGAAATTTGACGCAACAATCACGATTCATAATGCAACGAAGAATCCTGAAAACGATGCGTATAATAGACATCCTTTGAAAAGAAGGTTGCTAGCTGCTGCTGCTTTTGAGCAGCATAGTCCGACAAAGATCCTCAGACCGGCAAGAACAGTTCGTTCTTCTTCTCATTTTATGCTATCAAGAGTGCTCCTATTTTTAGGAGTGGAGTGAAATAGTTGTCACGAATGAGCGAAAAACACCAACAGCGGACATGAAAGAAGCTGGTGCTAAAATTGACGTCAAGAGCGATGCTCCTTGTTCAACGAGAAGGTATACTGCAGGGCGCGGTTGTAGTAGTATATTGTGTTAAATAATGACACAGCCACTTATGATTCCCACTAAAGCTCACGTCCCAGAGCATTCCACAAAAGTCTCGGTTGGAAAACCTGCTTTACTCACAGCTTGAATTGCACAGCAAGTTCTATCTGAAGAATATTTACAGTTCCCCCATCCCACCCCCCCTTCCCTCCCCTCTTATTTTCAGCGAAATTTCGGGGACTTTGAATATGTTTCAGAAAAATGCAACCACTAACCGAATCAATTTGTCTATAGCTAAGTGACAACAAGGGGCAGTTGCGTGATCAATGATCAGTTGAACCCATTCCTTTGAATTACCTTTAAAATACGATTGTCTAAGCTAGAGTAAAAGGTACTGATGAGTTCTTCGTCATCGCTGTGCCAAGCAGTGACGATTGCTTTCTTCGGCTCACTGTTGCCTCCAAACTGTTTGTTTCCCTCATATATCTTCCTTAACAGGAATCTCCATACGTTTTTCATTGGATTCATGTCAGGCTGTTAGCCGGCCAGGGAAAAGATCGATTGGGTGCCGACTAAACCAGCTGGAAAAGGGAACATGAAGGGAAGGAAGAGTCAACGACAAGACATTGAATGCATCTTACTTCGATCGGTTCGGATGCAGTTACTGGCGAAAGCTACCCGATTATTGCGTTGCTTCTCGGTCAGAAAGGGTGCCTCTCTCATTTTCCACTCAGCGATAATCTCGGACTTATTTATTACGTTCCAAACAGTAATCCTCAAGACAATGAGCTTCAAAGAGGACTTGATTTACGTACATGACTTAGTTGAATTCGACGCATCTCTCAAACCCGTCGCTTGTCCCTTTCCAGAAGTAGCGTATGACGTCCCAAACTTCTTGTGGCTCGATACTCTGCAGGATTCTCGACGAGATTGTCGACAACTGCCGACTTGCATCGGCCCGAACCTGAGCGATTCCACTATTTGACAGTCCCTAATCTTTTTTTGAATGCTTCTTTCTCGATATTGGATAACAACTTTCTTTCACTCTTTAATTGAAATTGGAAAA